CAAACTATGAACAACATCTGGAAAGCCTACTGTGGGACTTGGTCCTTGAGCAGGAGAGCCAGCTACCATACTTGAGTCATGATGAGCACATTATAGTTCTGAAGCTTAGATGATACTCTTTGACTGTCTTTTCCTCAGTCTGCTGTATCTCTTTTTTTTTCCTTTTTTTTTTTTAAAATGTGCTGTTCTAAAGATTTGTTCCAATAATATTTAGGGACCTGATTTTTAAAAATCCCTAGTTTGATGAGCTTATTCTCAGATACTCAAAGCCAAACTTCAGTTTGGCATGCTCTGGAACTTTGCATGCCTTAGACTTGCAGACACCTAAGTAAATAGCCTTCCATTTTTCATTCTCTTATATGATGCTTTCCCTGAATGTTTCCATTTGCCATTGTCTGAAGGAACTGAAATAATACAGGTAAACTTGAGGAAGCTCATCTTTTCAGTCACCAAGTTGCCAGCAATGTGTTCATGCTGATGGTTAGTCTGGATGGGGGGTAACTGTCCGCTGTTGCTGTTAGCCTATGTTAAGCTCTGTATTTAATCCCTTTGTGTCTCCAGCTGCCCTAATGATGAAGACAAAATAACTTGCTAATGTAATAGAAGTTAATAAATTAAAGTCAGCTTATTTGGAGTCTTGATGTAAATCATTATTATTTTCTATTTTTCCTTGATGTAAACTGGATGTGCTCACTTTTCATTATCAAAATTCAATAAGCAATACCTATAAACTGAGTCTTCTATTTAATTTTAAGTCTGTTTTTTGAGATATTTCTGCCTCTGTTCTATTAAGGAGACATGCAGTTTGCGTGGAGAAAACTTCAGTGTTTCATACCAGATGAGATAGGCTGTTAGAAGTTGACTTTTACTTTTGGTGCTGACTTTCCTTTTCAGGCTACTCATTCCCACTTCCATATCATTCTGTCAGTCAGGCTAGTGTGACTGTGCAGCTGCATGGTAAACTGCATCAGGAAAGTAATCTAGACTGAAAATAATCCAGGGCGGGGGAACAGTTATTTTTGACTCCGAACAGTTCCTGAGGAGGGTGTTCTTATTAAGGCTGAAAGAAATGCTTATGAAATTATGACCGTGGCTGGAAAATGTATATGGGCATTCTGTCTGGAAGCCACTTTGCTCAGTCTGAGAGGGTACCAAGTCCAGACTAAACAGGTTAAAGACAATTGCTTCTGGATAATTGGATTATGTGATAAATTAAGCCACTTGTGGAGCAGAGATGGGTCTTAGGAGGGAGAGAGGAGACAGGCCATTATGGAACAGAAGGAGAAGAATCATCAGCTCTTGTGGAATTAGGACAAGCTGTAGCTGCAGTTGTGGCTATAGTTGGTGTGGTCCAAAAGCTGATGTTCCTGTCGATGTTGCTTAAATATGTATTCAACACTTACTAAGATTACTTGTGTGGTATATATCCCCTGTATTTGTTATAACTATGCTGCTTTGATATAACAAACCTCTTCAGGCAGTAAGAAAAATTATTGGAACCAAATTCATATCTGTTGAAATTTTATCAGGCCTCCTTACTGGTTTGAAATGTAGAGAATCAGTCAAAAGTGTTCGTTGTTTTTTCTTCATAAAACAGTGGCTTTTGTTAATTAGTAAAAATCAGTCTGATGAGCAAACTCGTGCTAAGAAGCATCTTCCTCCATACTGTTAATTTTTGTAAAAGAGACTAATTCTTTTCAGTTGTTGCAAGCATCTAGTCCAAATTCATTGTCTGCATTTCCTTTGCAGTTAATGGAAGAGGGGGGAGAGATGAAGACCTTCAGGGTGCATTTCCATCCCAGCTAGTTTAGGATGAGGTAAACTGCTTTCTGAAGATGCTAGCGTCTCTTGGTTTATCAGAGGGAGCATAGGTCTAAGTATGCACTATTTTCTTTTCAGACAACTAAAGTTGTGGGAGGTGAATCCCACTGAACATTTCATTTGTTAAGATCATTGTGTGGGCTGTGGCCATTATGGTTTCTTGTGGTATCTATGGTATCTTTCTTGTCCAACTCTTATTCGTATTTTAGTATAGCTGTTATAATCAGGTAGCCTTGCTGGCTGTATAAACAACCAGTTCTTGAATCCCATTAAGCTCTTGGCTCCTGTGCATACCACACACATGTGAATTCAATAAACTAACTGTACCATTTGTAAAACAAGTATTTACTTTCTTCTATTTGCTTGTGAAACTGCTCAGATTAATTAGATGTCACCTTGCTCTTGCATGAGGAGGCAGAAACAGAGCTCATTTTATTATTCTCTCTTTCAAGTCAAATCATACTAGTCTTTCTGGACTTTCTTTCTCTGGTAACTTCTGTGAGAGTTCTCCTCTTGTCTGCCAAAGTCTTACTGTGCTGGGATTATGCTAAGAAACACAGCATTACAAGCTTGAAGAGTGCAACAGATTTGTATAATGGATTTGGAATATTTTCCATCCTGTTATTTTCCATCCTCTTTCTTATGTATGCAAACAAGGTGTTTGCTGTTTTGAGCACTGATATTTGAGCAAATATTTTCATTGAGCTTTCCATACTGATACACAGGTCTGGCTTTTGTTTTGTTTTTCCTGAGCTGATAACAGTTCCCTCTAACTCTAGCAGTGAATTGTTCAAATTAATCCCTTTTGTGTGCATTGCTTTGCATTTGTCAACATCTAATTTCATCTGTTCCTGATGTTGAATCACTAGTAGCTCCCACGCATCTAGCAGTAGGTGCTAAAGAGATATTAAAATAAGGGGCAAAGAATGACAAAAACTGCTAGAGGACTGCCAGCTTAAGTCCTCAAGAGAACTAGGTAAAGTCTTATGTTTGATTTGTTTTCTGTGTTGGAAGAAACTCAGCAGAGTTCTGATTTCCTTTCAATTGGGTATTTGTCTTAGTAACATATATGTGGGAAGACTACATTCATTCTGCCTTTTGACAGCTTCAATCTGGTCTCTTCGGACCTTCTGCTGTCCTGAGCTACCAAGGATAAGCAAACTTTTGGATTTGGCTCAAAGCATCAATTATCTTAAGCCCTGTTCTACCTTCTGCACCATTTTTTTCAAGTGGCTTCAAACCCATTGAGGGTGCTTGGCTGCACAACATGCAGTAGTTTTGCAGAGATTTAGTGATTCTTGGATGCTTAAAGAGCACATTGGGCTATTTTGCTGAGAGCACAGATTAGAGTAGCTTTATTAGCAAACAGTGTGGTTCAGGTTAACAGAGGGCTGAGAAGTTTTACGGAATAATGTATCTATGTTTACTGTGAAATTCACCTATTATAACACAAATACTCCCATGAAATTCCAAATTAGATCTTAAGATGAAACATTGATGTTTTGTTTATAGCATCTTTCACCATTCATATCTGCCTTCAGTTCTGATATTTTATTCCTACAGGATGACACAGACGTTCTTTTTCCCACATCCATATGTGCAAATCATGTATAAAGATATTTAGCTCAAATACCATGCGTGCGAAACATTGCACACTGTGGGCACGAGGTGATATTTGGTGTGTCTTTAACATGCTGTGGTGTTCAATTACAATACAGCAGATTTATTTTTATGCAGCTTTCTTCATAGAAAGTATGGAAAATTGCTGTGAGTCATCTTTCAGCTAAAGAACTGGAAGTCTTGTAGTGATATTTAAAGAAAGTGGCTCAGAGCCGACAGAGTTCAAGACAGAAAAAGAAACAGAAATGAAAGAGAGGGCCTCCAACCATGGAGAAAATAGAGGCAAAGACTGGTAGGGAGAGGAGTGATGAGAAGGCCAGACAAGCTGAGAACGTCTGCAGCAGCTCAGGAGACTTTGCAGATCATTCGGAAAGAAGCGTTGGGCTTCAGGTGTCTCTCCTGCTTTACACCAGCGTTAGCCAAGCAAAGATCCTTTGACCCCAAGGAAATGCTCTAAAACCAGGTAAATAAGAGCACTGGGCTCAGTGCACTGTGAGGAATTTGGAAACATGCAGGTAGAGGTTGAGGGAAGGATAAATGGCTTAACTTTCTAGAGTAAGATGTTAGAAGAACAACTGGCATTCTGCACTCCATGATGTTTAAACAGGTGAGGATTTTATTAGAGCTTGGAAGAGGGAATTTCAGTTAATTAGGAATTATTATAGGCACAAATATAGACTTCAGCAGCAGTGAAGTCAAAGGGAAGATGGATTCTGGCAGTCTTCCCTTGCTAGTGCCAGGAGGGCTTACACTCAGAAGTGAGTGTGTGGGAGAGGTAGTTGTTTCAGGGTCAGAGATGACTTAAGAACTCTGACTTTGCGTACAGGGATAAGATCTGAGTAAAGAAGCATGAAAGCTGTCTTGAAGAGCAAGAGTGGCGTCTTTCCATTGGCATGTGAACCTTTTGAAGAATTAGGAAATTATAATGTAGCAAGGGGATGACAGAACCAAGACAGGCTGTGAAAGAGATCAGAGATTCCTTTCCAAGGTCACTGATGCCTTGCATTCTTTCCCTATAAAGTTGATGTCCAAAGCTGACCTAGCAGTAAGGTATCCCAAAGGAGGAGGATGTTTAAGGAGGAGAAAGTAGAAGAATCAGAAACAGATGCCTGGTCTTCTTAAGGCACAGCACAGTCATGGAGGGATATTGTTGATACAAGCACTATTGTCTTTGTTTGTGAATTATACACATTCTTCTTATGTTTTGGTCAAGTCTACCAACTGGTGGCATGGGGCTCTTTGGGCAGCTCTCTCATCCCATGTCCGCCAGCTTGCCCATACTGTCTTTGCCCTGGCAATCCTTTTGACCTCACTCTCTGATAGAACAATATTATCTGCCTTAAGAAAGTAAATATGATGTAAAGTATGTAGCATGAAGGAGAGTAAAGTTTTTATTGAAAGCAGAAGGGAAAGAACTTGTCTTCTTACTCAATGCATTCAGAAAAGCTGTCTTTGACATTGTAGTACTGAAAGGCATTCTAAGCATAAAAGTAAGGTTAGAGCCACTCAGACATCCCAGAATTTGAAAGGAGTAATATTTCATTGTATGCAGTTCCAAAATGCTTATTACAGATCTTCTTATTTACAACTATCATGTCTCTCTTGAATCTGCAGAGGAAGAGTATCAAGGACAAACCAAGAGAAAGCGCATTCGAAGGAAGAAACAAAAGAACAATTTGCAAAACTCTAATAATTTACATGGAGAACAAACAGAATCTGGAATGCAAGAGACTCTTGTTCAAGATCATTTACAGCTGCAGCAGATAGACAATCCCAAAATAAGCAAAAACAAAAAGAGGAAAATGAAAAAGAAGCGACAGAAAGAAAAATTGAGAGCAGCTGGCCTGGTAACAAAACCTACTGGTGTGGATTTTACATATCAGCCTGACAAAAACAACAGAGAAGAAGCAGCAGGCTTAAAAGACATCGATGAAAAGGCAGATAGCATTCTGGACTTCCTGCAGGCAACACAACAAATTTATTTTGCTGACAGTATGTACCACTCCTTCTCCTTTCTTTTCATGAGTATTACAACATAGGGGAAAATAGAAGTGAACTTATTGCTGTAGAATGGGCTAAATCTACTAGAGAAGTGTCTCTTCTGACCTCAGGAAGACATGCGAGTACTTAGTATTTGTCCCATTTTGTGGTGTGTACATGACTATGTAAGAACTCACAGCAATATAAAAAACTGTGGTCCTAATCGCTTTGTTTCTCTGTCTTTGAAAATATACGTAATATTCCTCACTCTTTTTTAAAGCATTCCAGTGCACTTGGGGTAAATATACTGGTTAAAGTGGACCAAATTCTTCTTTCCTCTGCAAGCAAACATCCAGAAGGATTACTTGCTTTCAGAAGAGCTTCTAATGAGGGCAATAATTGCTATCCTAAACTACTTTCATGCTTACTATCTCTGAACCAACCTACTTTTCAGAAAGTTCTCCTTCCCAGGAGATTTATTTGCAATATATAAGGAAATCTACACTGACAGCATCCAAGAGGAAAGGGGAAGATACTGTTGGCACTGGGAAAGTGTATTGACATAAAGCACTTGTGAACAAGATGAATGTGAACTGATGCTCAATGCATGTTCCATAGCACTTTAAAAAGGATTGCATGGATGTTATCCCTAATGGCCTATTGAATGTTCATCTGGCCACTAAAATCAGAGAAATACATTGCCTTCCTAAAAAGCTACTTGTATGGTGCTTATGTCATAAATGCCTTTCAGAGATAATGAAGTTTTAATGGTAAGGATAGTAATTATGTGTACATATAGCAAATTATGTTGGCATCACTAGATAAGATTTCTTAAGGGCAAGCTGGTGTGTTCTTTAGTTGCTCAGCTCCGAACATACCTTTTAAAATGATGACTGTCTTGTAAAACTGGAAAAAAGCAATGAAATTTTTTCAAAGTGCATGGCCTTGGCTGTCTTTGTAGAGCTGAATGAAGAATATTAAACAGCTTACCTACCTGTATAAGTCCACCTTAAGTCAAAGCTGTCAGCTCCTAGTCCAGTAACATTCATCTTTGACTACAGAATTACTTTTAAAACCCTGTTAAGAGGACATCAGGGATTTCATGTTAATTTTTTTTCTCAAGATTTATATATAGAATTTTCTTTGCTTACTGTTAAAATATTTCTGCTGTGTCAGGTCTTCATACTAAGCCTAGCATTCAAAATCCATCCTACTTTCTGGCTAATGTATTTCCATCACCAGAAATAAGAATTTTACTACTTCAGTGTTTGCTTAAGTAAGCTAAACTACATGCATTTGCTGCAGTGTAACTACAGGGTGACTGAGCAAGATTGTAAACTCAGTTAACAGTTCTGCTATTAATACATGACCCAGAACAGAAACCTGGTCAGCTATCTACAGCTGTGTTGCATGTTGAATTTTAAGAAAAAGTGTTGAGCTTCCAGCTTTCCTGGAAGTCAAGTTCAGGTTTTAGCAGTGGTTGACAGACCTACTGGCCTTGCTGTCAAACCTGAATCAGAATCACAGAATCACAGAAACACTA